CAAATCATTGATTCTTACAACTAAGAGGAATGGGAAAGGTGGAGAAAATAATTCTAAACAGTAAACACTAGAAGACAACTTCTCCATTCTGGATAAATTACTTAAAATTGTATAAAAACTGAAAATAAGAAAGAGTCAAAAACTCTCTACTCAACGTATCTTTGGTTCGTGTATCTTTAACATTTTGGAGAAGGAATACCACAAGACATGATACGAGCGATATGGACAGAGCCAGACAACATACTGGTTTTAATTACATCACACAGACATGATTGCTTATCTTTCAATGTGTCACAACATTCGGTCGACATCATTCCACGAACAACAGTCTCGTAGCAATCTTGAAGGTCACGTGTAACACATGATTCTCCATTACCCTTGGAAATACTACCGTCGACAGCGATAGCTTTTGTCGGAAGAGAAAATGATGCTAACAGTATGAATGCGATAAGACCCATTAACGGTACGATCTTCATTTGTGGTTGTTTGTTTAGGTTTATATCTATGGCAAATGGTTTGGATTCCTATTGTTTTCTAAGAAAATTTGGGAATTTATTTCAGGTATTTATTCGATAAGTAAGGATTATCTTTGTATGGTATTGCGTTATGAACGTGTTTTACCTTGTTAATCAACAGGAACGTCATTAGTTGATATGTAAATTTAGCCTAAATGTGAGGCTACATTGCTTTTCTATATATAAGGTTTAGAAATTTATAGAAATACTACTAGATTAAGATCCGTGTAATACGCATATTATTTTAATATTAAAAGGATTAATTGGTTAATCCAAAATCGTTTACAAATTCTACGTTTGCTTATCGATTACAAATTGTAGTCGTGAAATAAAATATACTTAGGTTAAAAGGTAATTAAAATATAATATATATCTACATTTATCGTTCATAATTAAATATAGAGCTTGTGTTTTCACTTTTCATTTCATAAAAAGGTAAAAAATTGAATTGAAACTTTAAAACAAAGAAGAATATGGTAATGTACTGTTCATAGTAATAGTTCTTATATGGTTAGATTTAAGATTTTTAAATAACTCCACATTTCATGCTTTACTTCTTCGAAAATGTCTTTATCTCACTATTTTCTTAAACACAGACTTGAAAAATCGATAACAATTGTGTCCATTTTATTCTCTTTCTTCTTCCCCATGATTATGTAAGTCCTATAGAGAGTTATTAGAACTCAATATTTCCATTTTTACTAAAAAAAATATATTGAAAAATTCTTATTTATATTTCTAATACAATGATCAACATATAAATTAGAGGTAAGCATCGTTGGGATCCTTTAAAACAATTACAAATGAGTTATGTCCAAAATCTAGAAGCCAACATGTGCCTCTAAACTTGTTCAAAAACAAAAAAAAAAAACATGTGCCTCTAAACATCACGAACCATTATATTGACAATGTACCCGAGCCAACCTGTTTTTTTACTCTCCGATAGAGCTATATATGTTGATGTTGGTTCTTCATCCGATCTAGATTCATCCTCCATTTGCATAATGTACTGCGAGTTGGATGGTATCAAGTGGTGAGTGGTATTTTCCAACAAAACCTTTTCGTTTCTTGATTTTCCATGCAAACATAGCACACTAACCATAGGAAAATGGATAGTTGTTCCTCATCAACCCTAAGTCTTAACCACCAATTGGATGGTATCAAGAGCATATGATTTTATTTAACCTTATAAAAACCATGGCATTAACACCTGCCTACTATATTGTGTATGTGTTGGAGTTATCAAGCAAAGCAACGAAATAAGAACACAAGGTGTCAGTGGTAGATAAAGCATATATACTGTATGTTTATAAAATATTTATTATTGATTCAAATACTTTATAAAATAATTAGATGAAATACAAATATGGGATCACTGATTCTTACAAGTAAAGGAAATGGGAAAGGTGGAGAAAATGTTTCTAAACAAGAAACACTAGAAGACCATTTCTCCATTCTTGAAAATTTACTTGAATTGAATAGAAACTGAATACAAGAAAGAATCAAAGACTCTACTCAACATATCGTTGGTATGGTATCTCTCGAACCATTTCAACATCTGGGGTCAGGAATACCACAAGACTTGATATGAGTGCTAATAACATTCTTATCGAGGATGTGACGGATTTTAATCACATCGCATAGACATGATTCTTTCTTTTTCATCATCTCACAACATGTAGTCGGTAACTTCATTCCACGAGCAATACCGTCAAAGCAAAGTTGAAGCCCATTTGTAACACATGCTTCTCCACCAGAAGTGTCAGCTTCTGTCGAGTGAGGGAATGATGCCAAGAGTATGACGAATGCAATAAGGAACAATGATACGAACTTCTTGTTGTTTAGATATATTTATCGCAAATTGTTTCTAGGAAAATTTTGAGAATTGTTTAACTATTTATAGGATAATTTAAGGATTCACATCGTATGGTATTGCGTAACAAACGTGATTTACCTTGTTAATCAACATGAACACAATCAGTTGCTATGTAAATATAGCTAAAGGTAACGCTAAATTACTTTTCCAGATAACGTTTAGAAATCTATATAAATAATGTCATATGCATACTATTTTAATTTGAAGATGCTTTTAACTATTTAGAAAATTTCATTAGTTAGTTCACATTGATTTACAAATTTTACGTTTGCTTATGATCGATTACAATTCTAAACGTTCCATGAGATTTGAATAGTTGAAAAGAAAATTTCGATTTCATACAAATCTCGAATTTTAACAATTGAAAAGATTCGTCAATTTATATAAACGAATGGGTTTATACAAATTTGTATGAAAAAAATCTTTTACTGAGATATAGAGATTTTAAATTCGAATAGAGTAGTCGAGGATTTTTAATTTCATGAGGATTTTACTGAGAAAACAAAAACTTGTACAAGTGTATTAAGTGTCACTACATCTGGAGAGCCGCCCTTGCTACCCATCGAATCAAACATCCTCATCTAAGCGGTTCTGCTTGCAGAATCCATCAATCATTGAGTTGTAGGTGACGATATCGGGGACTATACCTCTAAGAAGCATCTGCTTGTACAATTCCTGAGCCCTAAAAAACTTCCCTTCTTTGACCAATGCATCGATCTGTGCACTGAAGGTTACAACATCAGGGTCGATTCCCCTTCCAATCATTTCACGTAACAGTCTCTCGGCATCACTCCATTTACCACAGTTACAAAAACCACCTATCATACAGCTGTAGGTATATACATCAGGAAAAATTCCTTTCTCTTGCATTTCTTCGAAAAGATTTTGAGCATCGCTATATAGATCATCTTTGCAAAGACGATCAATGATTGCATTATAGATCATAGGAGTAGCTTCGATGTGACTTTTCTCCACCTTCCTAAGAAGATTCAAGGCTGACACAGTATCACCAATCTTACACATTCCATTTACTATAGTTCAGTAAGTAACAATGTCAGGATGATGACCATTTTTTACCATCATATCAAGCAGAGCTGCTGCTTCGAGAACTCGACCCTCGCGGTAAAGACCGTTCATCAATGTGGAAAATGTTATGACATTTGGTGCGTGCTAAAGGTGACGACGTTAGGCTGGAAACCAAGCTTTGTGAGCTTCCCAAATGTAGACAGAGCAAAGGGAAACTGCAGAAACATTTTATGAGAATAGAGAAGCTGTAGAGATCACATGGAATCCTGCGCATTTCCATCTTCTGATAGAGAGAAATCACAAGATCTGGACAGTTCATTCTCGCCACCACACCCATTAATTTGTTGAAATCAATTGCAGAAGGGAAGGGGCAAGATCGAACCATATCATCGAACAAAAATTCTACATTTTTTTCTTCCTTTTMTAACATTTCTAGATAATGTTTCTTCTTTCCGTTTTGTTTAATTTAAAATGATTCCTCTGTCATTATGATTATCACATTCCAAAATCTCAAACACATTTTACAGGTCCAACATTTGACATAATTTCATTATTATAATAATCTTCTGTAATTTGCAAGG